TTTTCTTAACATTGAAAAAGAATTCAGAAATCTGTCTGCTTCTGTTAAGCACCGATGGGAGAGCTAGTTGAATGGGACCCTGACCTGAAAATTACCATTTCTAAGACATCTGGGCCTAACCTCAATCTATCCTAGGCTGACCTTGAACTTGGAAATCTGCCTGCCTTTGTAACTTTCTGATAAGCTGGCTCAGAGTGTAGCTGCCTTTATTCCTTTAGATTCATGAAGCCCCTCATAATTAATATTGTATCCTTATATTTTGCGTAGTTGAGAAATTATATATATTTTAAACTCATGTATTTAGAGCTCTTTCCCAAAACCTTAAGGGCTTTAAATTAAAATAGGTCCCTAAAGGTTCCAGTGTGTACCATTTTGTGAAGATATAACCACACCCTCGACTCCTGGAGTGCTGTTTCTAATTCTCACAGAGTCATTAAGGTTAACAGGGAGGACATTCCTAGGAGGAATGTGAAATACGTACCCACTGCAGCCTTCTACACTTGTGGAGGCTCACACCAGGAGCACTGTTTCAGGGGCAGGAACCATGTCACTCTGTCCCCACCAAGTCACACCGGGCTCTGCACTAGAGTGTAGAAATAGATTTCAGAAATTATATAAAAATTGTCTTCCAATGAGAAGGAATGGGGAAGATGACTATCAGCAGCAGTAAGTGTGCTGGACACCAGAAACAAGCCCTGTTAGACAGCCTATCCAAAAAGACTCCCATTTGCCAAGAACTAAATAGTAGTGATATTTAGTTGTAAAGCAAGAGTTTTCCCTAATATTCTGAACTTTAATAAGTATACTAAGATTCACTAATGGTCAGGAATTTCCTTAAAACCCACTATTTTAACTTAAAGTGTAGACCAAACTAAAGTCCTACAGGCCCTTTAAGGAAAGTTGCAAAACTGGAGATCACAGAAGAAAGACTGCAGAGGTCAGACTCCAGGCTCTGGGACTGAGGAATGTGTGATTTCATCTGTATACATGAGACTCTGGTCCACGGCATGGTGCCCACATGGGTAATAGGCAGAATTCCTCTGGTTGCAGGTGATGGCAAACATCAAGCAGAGTCCAAGGGCAGAAAAAAAAACTGCTCTATTACATAATAGGTCAATATTTGGACCAATTAACCACTTGAAACCTTTCTCATCTGTGAAACGGGAAAATGCCGGTCGCTACTCGGTACTTTTATGCAAATCAACTCATACAAAATGGGTAGAGAAGTTAGTGTTTGATTTCAGAAAATGACAACATAGGCAGCGTTCATGTGTCTAGTCGGGACTCAGATGTTTGCTTGGTCCCTTGATTTAGAAAGACTTTAAGATCTCATTTGCCATTTTTTGATCTGTAAAGCTACACAGCTAAAAGCTTTCGGTATATAGAATACCAATCTTTTGAATCTTAAGTAAGACTTTTAAACACAAGTTCCAAATGTGAACATTTCATATTGGCAGTTACTTCCAAATAAGCTGTTTTTAGAATGATTCTCCTGCCCGGTCTAGAAACTATGCAGAGAAATGCCTCCTTAGGACCCTAAACTCTAGCAACTGACTGAAATCTAAACGAAGGTTTCCTACTCTGACTTACTCCAGCGGGCTTCCTATATTACCCCTAACGACTTTTCTTTAGATGGAGTAAGGTCTCAAGAACGTAGCAGGAGTTTCTGAAAGGTTCCCAGTTACTACTGAAGACCTTCGCAGAGGGGAGACCCTCTCTCAAGTCTCAGAAAGTCGCGACCACCCAGTAATCTACTCGAGACACCATATACCAGAGCAATTGCGAGGTTATTTATTAGGGCGTGACAGCTAGCTGCCGGTCAATTCGCATGCCCACGCAGGAGCTGAATTGACCCCGACTGCCAGTTTGAGGGGTGTTTTTAAAGGGAAAAACCACAAACCAAGGAAATGAGGAGGGGGTGAGGGGGTTGCTAGGGTGGTATAACATAAAAATAGTGGAACATTCCAAAGGAACCCAACCTACATGAGTCAGGATCAGATGAAAACTCTCTGTACGCTTATCTTTCTCAAGAATGTAGTCCTGTCCTGTCACTTCGGCCTTGCCCTGTCACTATGGTTCTCAGCTTGGTTCCACCTGACTAAATTGCATTCTTTCCTTTCTCTTTGCAGGTCGGCCAGTTCCAGTAATGGTGACTGGTCTTTCCACATTCCTAAAGAAAGCCTAAAGAATATTTTATATCTAAAAAGGATTCTATATACCCAGTATCCATAACTTTTCCCCCTACACTACAATCTCTGGAGCCCTTTCAGGGAGCCACTAAGTAGGTAAGGTAGCGGGGCCAGAAATCTTCCGCTACTCTCCTCGCTGCCCTCACCACGCCCTCTTGGTAACCTAGGTTACAACCACGCCCTCCTCTGTAGCTGACCAATCACAAAGCTTTGCATTGCCGGACAGGGTTAACTTGGCGTGGAAACTCAGCGCAAGTCATTGGCTGTTAGGATCCGGACGGAAACGGAAGTGGTCTCGTGTTTGGAAGATGAGTTCCTCTTCTGTTGAGGATCCGAAGCCGTGAGTGAGGAAGTTCTGGGCCGGGTCTTCCGGGGGCGGAGACTAGCCTGCCAGAGCAGGAAGGATGGAGAGTGCTGGTAGGGTACCAGCTGCAGGTCAGACCCTGAGTGCTCAGAATCCCTAAGTCACCCCGACTATCTTCGGGGTCATTATGCTGCCGAGACTCTGGACGACCTCCATGTGAGGCGGCGGCGACGCCGCGGCGGCGGCACCGGGTGCCTGCGGGTTGGCTGGCAAGGATGCAGCCTGCACCTGCTAGCATCCGGAGCGGCCACCGCTGCCGCAGCCGCAAGCACAGAGCGACCCGAGGACGGGGCGCCAGCGGCTGGTAAATCTTTCCCTATAGGGCGTCAGTGGAGAAGACAACCGAAAAAGAGGACTTGCCAAAGACTTGGTTTAGTTCCCTAACTCGGCTCTTTCGTGAGAAATTGTTTCTGAAAATGCCTTGTGCATGTAATCGGAATAACTGGAGATGGATCAGACCTCTGCTCGTATTTCTTTATACATCGGCTCTTCTTGTTTCGGTACCAGTCTGTATTTGGGAATTCCAAAAGATGAAGGTAAGAGGGTCCTGCACCTTTACCCTTTCTTACGCTGCTTGACAGAGTTCCTTTGTCTGCCTTCTAATGCTTGAGGTCTGAAAAACATTTCGTCTTTGGACATTGAACCAATTTGTCTGGTTTTATTTAGCCGCTACAACTGGTGGTAGGTCCTGGTGGAGGAAAAAAATAGTCAATGCACCTGCTCATAATGGGTTGCTTTCCCAATGTCCATTAGTTTCCAGAAAGAACTTTATTCTTGAAATCAGATCTGCTGTGCAGATACTGGGCTTGACCAGACTAAATAAACTACCTTGAAACTACGTTCTGGATTTTATAAGCTGTTAGCCGGCTTCCTGGAACCAAAGGATTCTTGTTAAATTGACTTTGCTAATTAACTTTACGTTGAAGTTACAAGTTTTGTTTTGTTTTGTTTTTTGGTTTTTCGAGACGGGGATTCTCTGTGTAGCCCTGGCTGTCTTGGAACTCACTCGGTAGACCAGGCTGGCCTCGAACTCAGAAATCCGCCTGCCTCTGCTTCCCAGTGCTGGGATTAAAGGCGTGCACCACCACCACCCGGCGAAGTTACAAGTTTTGTTTCTTTCTTTAGTGAGATAAAGTCTCATGTAGATCAGGCTGTTCTGGATTTTGCTCTGTAGCCTAGGATGTTCCTTCTCCGTCCATCTTCCTAGTGCTCAGATTACAGGTGTATCCATCATTCTGCATATTCAGTGCAGGGATTGAACCCAGGGCTTTGTACATTTGAGGCAAGCATTCTACCAACCGAACTTCATCCCAGACCTGAAGTTACTCCTTAATCAAAGCAAAAATTTTCCAAACGTCCCCTGTACATTCCAGAGTAGTATTTGTTGGTGTGTTCCTAGGATGATCCAGTTGTGGAGGTCTGAAGGTGGGCAGCTTGGGAGAGTTGGTTCTCCCCTCCCATCATAATGAGTGCTGAAGATTGAGGTAAGGTCATCAGTGTTGGAGACAAGCACCTTACCTGCTGAGACATCTCTCTGGCCCACCTTGTTAATGTCATGTTGGGACATTAGTAAGGTGTGTAAGCTGGATACCTAACCTATAGCTATATCTAGAAAGTGAAAACTTAGAATGACCAATTAATAATAACCAAAAAGTACTTTTATAGAGAATCAGTTATTTTGGAAGAGTTATGGCAGGCAGACCAGGTAGATGCACCCTCCCCCGGCCCCGGTTATTTTAATCAGTGTGTCTAAACATATTTGAAGGATCTTTTTTTTTTTTTTACTAAACTTTTGTTGAATTTTCTAATTATAGTCCATATAGATATTTAAGGGTATTATAATATGCCATTAAATATTTCTCATTTGTTATGTTTTTAGGCTATTTGAGATTTGTCCACCCATATTTAGGTCTAGCAATCTTAATTTAAATGTAATTTCCTCACTTAGTATTCCTTGGAATCCAGTAGAGAAAGGTAAATGAAGTGTATATCATTTCTGTCTCTTAATTGTAAGCATCAACAGTAGTCTTACAGTACCACTAACCTTTAAGGCCATTTCTAATCTGCAATGGGAACTGTTGACAGCCCAGGCCCCTCACTTCCTGATACAGATGTTTAATGGAGGACATGCAGGTAAGCATGTCAGATGATGCACTTAGACATGCAAACGTAGAACTCAGAACGGCTTAAACTCCAGATGGATGGGAATCCTGTGTAATCTACTCTGTCTGCCATAAGAAATGCCCTAAGAACCTGGGCTCTGGTGACGGCTCAGCAGGTAGAACAGTAGCCTCGAAAGCATGACCGCCTGATCTATGTCTGTAACCAGGTGTTCATGGCAAGATGGAAGAGACAGCTGCCTGCAAGCTTGCCAGCCAGCTAGCCAAAACAAGAGACCCTGCCTCAAGGTGGAAGGAGAGAGCTGACTCCCCAGTGTTGTCCCCTGACCTCCGCACTGCATACCAGCACTCACACACATAAGAGCACACATTTAATACATACATACATACATACATATGTATGTGTGTGTAGCATAAACAGTGCCTCAACAGGAATTTACGTTTTTATAGTCAGAAAACTATTTTGGAGTCAAATACCATGGGACTGAGTGGGGTTTCAGTTTGAGGAAGGTCCTCAGGTTGCAGACAGCCATGCTTCTGCTGAATCCTCACATGGCTGAAACATCTCTTTTTGAGATCATCCCCCCTGACACTATGACCTCATTTCAGCTACATCCCTTCCTGCCAGCCTTATCTCCAAGGATGGCCACTTATATTAGGGGTTAAGTTTCAGTAGGTGAATGAGGAGAGCCCAGCCTAGTCACTAGTGTTCAGACTTTACACAGTGTCCACAGGTAAAAGAACGCTTGAGATTAAGGACAGACAGAAGGAACAGCAAGGACCTGGCACCAATATTTATAGGAATTTACAGGAAGGGTCAATGAAGTGAACACCAGATGGGGAGGGTTTGAAGGGGAACATTTGAAGTGTCCACATTTGCCACCCTGTCTGTCACTTCTCACAAGTAGGAAGACCATTGGGGAGTTTAGTGATTTTGCTGCAGTTGGAAGGGCCTCAGACAGAACAGAACTGTTTAAGTGTGAGGTAGAATGTGTGGTAGAGCCGGGCAGTGGTGGCGTACGCCTTTAATCCCAGCACTTGGGAGGCAGAGACAGGCGGATTTCTGAGTTCCAGGACAGCCTGGTCTACAGAGTGAGTTCTAGGACAGCCAGGGCTACACAGAGAAACCCTGTCTCGAAAAACCAAAAAAAAGAGAATAATCATATCTTCTTTGATTATCCTCGTGTGTGTGTGTGTGTAGGACTCCTCTGTGAGACAGGGTCTCAGTGTGCAGCTCTGGCTGTCCCAGAGCTCACAGGGTTCCATCTGCCTCTGCCTCCAAGGAACCTAGTGCCCACGTCTGACTTCAGAAGCCCACACTCACTTTGCATATATACATATAATTGTTTAAAAAGTAAATCTTTTTTTTTTAAATTGTTACCAATTATTTGGGAAATAACGAAACAGTATTACTAATCAAATGAAAATTTAAGAAAAACAAATATTGATCTTTATAATTTTAATATCAAAATGTAAACAAATGTGGGTTTGGCTTTTTGTTTTGTTTTTTAAGGTCGGAATACACACAAAAGCATGGTTTATCGCGGGGATATTTCTGCTGCTGACCATCCCCGTGTCTCTGTGGGGAATCCTGCAGCACCTGGTGCATTACACTCAACCTGAACTTCAAAAACCGATAATAAGGTTGGATCATAATATATTTGTTATTACTAGTATTGACTGACTTAATTCTTAAGCAAACATTACATTTTTTTTATGTTTTACTTTCCATAGGATCCTTTGGATGGTCCCAATATACAGTTTGGATAGTGTATGTATATTTTATTATATTTCATTAAGAATTTTATGACATTTAACTGTGCCTTCTAGAGAATGTTTAATAAGGTAATTAGCACACAATATTGGCAAAGAGAGATTAACAGTGAATTTTTTTTTCACTATTTTATTTCACTTTTTTGTTTTTGTTTTATTTTGTGTTTTCAAAACAAGGTTCTGTGTAGCCTTGGCTGTCCTGGAACTTACTCTGTAAACCAGGCTGGCTTTGAGATCCAGCTACCTCTACCTCCTCTGAGTGCTGGGATTAAAGACGTACACCACTAAAACCTGGCTATTTCATATTTTTTTGAGGCAGGGCCTCACTATGTAGTTCTGGCTATCCTGGAACTCACTATATAGACCAGGTTAACCCAGAACTCACAGAGAGCCTCCTCCCTCTGTCTCCTCTAAGTGCTGGGATTAAATGTGTTCGCCAACTGGCCAAGTTTACTGTATTTTAATGTTAGTAAGAAAGGTAAAATATGATTATGAAGAAAAATGCAAATACCTTAAGTATTTTTTAGTGTATAGCTGTTTTCTTTCCTCAGTTGCTTACATTTTCAGATTAGTGGCTCTTAATCATTTAAAGAATGTAGTATTGTAAATTACCTTCAGCCCTAGGTAGCCACAAGGGAATTCCTCTCCATCCCAGGTACCACAATGTGCTGATGCTCAGGTCCCTCATATAAAATGGGTAGCATCAGCATATGACGTAGGTACAGGCATCAGCATAGGACGTAGGTACAGGCATCAGCATAGGACGTAGGTACAGGCATCAGCATATGACGT